CCATTTGCATCTATTTTATGCGCTGCATTAAATCGTGGTTTAGTTCTTTTCTGGATCTGAGCTTCATCAATCTGTGTGGGACAGACTGTTCTTCGTAGTGCCAATAGTGAATACCTACAAACATTATAAATATGCATGTTAACATGTATGGCTTTTGATAAAAATCCTTAAAATTATATTGAACTCTGAAATAAACTCTGAGATGATCAAAGTCTGGATATGGCTAACTCGTATATCAACTACCAAAATATTCCTCACACTATTCCTTTAGTCAGGTAATATGCACCATTTTTTTTCAAATTTCTTTAGCAAGGTATGCATAAGTTTTACTATGATCATATCTAACCTTGGTAACAGAGCTGTAACAGATATCAACGTGCAAAGCGACCAGAATTCCTTGCTTGATAAAGTAACAATAGAAACAAAGTAGATCTTATGGGTGACTTGAACAAGACCAAAGCATATAGTCCATGCAAACGATAATATAATGCTACCCCATAGGAAAAGATGGTGTATCCATGTCTAAGGAATATAAAAAAATATGGTTAAAAACAAATAGAAAAGGCACTACGTAAAGTACATCAAAATGGGCCACTGCATTTGATTCTTTACCCCACCCCTATCCCACCATTACCAATGAGGACGGCAGCCAACCCCCAAGGGGGAGGGGGCAGAAAATGGAAGTGAATGGAAATCTTGTCAGAGTTTTAATAAGTGACTATCGATCCTTGGGGTTGGTTGACAAGAAATCTTCTTAAGTTAGGGCTTTTTTTTAAATATGGGCCATTAAAATCAAAAATCGAYCATTGTCAGCTATAAACTGATTTCTTCATAGCTTATAGTAACTCACCCATTGAGAAGTGGCTAGCCCCAAGTGTAAATTTGCCAAGATAACAGCAGCTTGATGCATCGTTATACCAACCATCCTATCGTCTGCTGGTGTGTCTTCAAAGAGCTGTGCAAAACAAGTCCAGTTAGTTACTATAATGATAATAAGAACGTTCTTTGCTTCGGGAGAGTTAGTAAAAGTCCCTCCGCAGCTGCTAACCTTCACTCTGCTTCATGGACATTAATCACTCATATCCCTTAGTGCAGTGGTATTACCTATAAATATAGGGGTGTTCAAATCTCGCGATTTCGAAATTGAGGGATATTCTATTGCGTAAACCATCACGCTCATCATGGAACTATTTTGGACCAGGATAGAATTGAAAAATCGTGTTTGTAGAAAACAGTTCTTGTGGTACTAAATTGCAGCCCAGACCATGAAATAAACGAGAAGTAAACTTACCAGTGAACAACAGAAAAATAAAATGACACTTTGATATAGAGCATCTAGAATAGTCAACCAGAATAACTTGCGGGTGTACATCTATGGAACAAAAACAAACTGATCAGTATATTGAAAGAAGGGATGATCACAGGCCACTTGCTATCTATAACCCTGAGCATCTTCATTTCATCAGCTTTGCTACTCATTTTCCTCTATCTCTAAGGCATTGTTAGCCCAACGTATGGGTTTCCGAGATGCAACGACTCGCAATCTTATGTTAGTAGAGTTTGTTGGGTCTCTCTCAATTCTGGGGTTTTTCTCCTGGTTCACTTGTTTTCTCCCTACACCGTGAAAATCCAACAAACTAATATCCAATCTGGTCTATAAGTAAGCCATGGCTTGACTTGCATCAACTCGGAGGTTGTTT